AACAACACCAACCCTGTCTGCAGTGCTTCTATGACTCCCTAGATGAATGTGATATAGCATAATTCTCTATAAGAATGGTTCAGTCAAAGTAAACCCAGGTTAGAATAAGATGGAGATTGAGCTATTTTTCAATAAAGAAGTGATGATAGAGACATAATTTTCATTTTTTGGAAACAATGGATCATTTCACTCCATAACTATACAATTGTCTGTAAAAAAGGTGAAGAAAGGTTAAACACCTAGCTCCCTTTCTCAGTTAACACTAAGATATTTCTCCACCTGTATATAAGCCATCCGAATTGTACATATTTTTATTTCTTGTTTTATTATTTCCTATTTTTATCTTGTTTTTCATTGTGTGCGATACATGTACACTTGCACCTTAATCCTATTTATCTTGATATATTGTATATACCTGGATATACTGTATATATATATTGCTTATTCTTAATGCACCTTTTTCCTCCCTGTTTGCACCTTCTGTAACTTCTATGCCAATATGTGACGAGTGAATTTCTCCGCTGTGAGATCAATAAAGCTCATTTAATCTAACCTAATCTAATCTAAGATCTGATATTCTGATTCCCTTATCATTGTTGCAATTGTGATCAAAGGTATGGCTGTGTTGATTTCACTCTGCCTCTAACAGAAACTTGGAGAAGCATCAGACACATTGGTCAGGAGATCTTTCAATTTGCCCAATTTTAAGCATCTAGACTCTTTCAGGTTTAGGTTGTGAAAAGTTGTGCATTATTAGGTTTGGAAAGTGAAAGGTGAACAGTAACCACAGGTTCGGGTCGGGCTGCAGTGTCTGGTTTTATGTGCAGAGAAACTTTGAGAGAGAAGCATTTGTTAGCTGGTCGAAAAGCCACAAAGCCCCACCCCCGTTTGCTCTGCCATTCAAACATACGCCTGAAGTCCAAGTTGGGTTGAGATAAGAACAGAATCAGTTTTTGGAACGTTTGAGACTCCCCTGTAAAGGCAGGTTATAAATGAAACAGGATACCAACTCTGCCTCCTCTAAATTCATCAAGCCTGCATTGTTATACTTGATAACCGCGGTAAAAGGTTGCAGAATCAATCTACAGACTATAATCCTGAAAGTGCTCACTAACTCCTCCAAATCATTGAATCTGGTTGTTCCAATCGCCATCCACTGCCATAGATATGCATAATCCACCACTCAGACTGATTCTACAAAGGAGCTCAGTGAATTCCAACATGGTGTCATGACAGTGACTGGAAACAACAGCAACTTAGCCATGAGGTGGTACATAACATCATAGAGCTGTGGAGGGGCACTACGCACAGAAATTACCGACATTCTGCAAATCCAATTACTACACACCTTCAGTTTTCACATGGCTTCCAGATTAGCTCTATAATCACGACATGAGAGCTTCATATAACAGGTTTTTATTGGCCAGTTCACAGCATCCAAGCCATGTGCAATTGAATCATCGGATGCAGTGACGTAACCCATGCTGCCTCTGGAGCAGCGGTGTGTTCTCTGCAGTGACTACTAAAGCCTCTCTGTCTGGAAAACTTAAGGAAGAGTCTGAGTTTAGCAGCTGAATTGAGCACAGCACCTGCTTTCCCACCATTTGACGATTGAAACGCTGATGCATGAAGGGTTATGGTGTGGGGTTGTATTTCTGCAGTTGGGCTCAGCCCTTTAGTTCCATTGAAAGGATCTTAATGCTAAAGCAGACTCAGGACCTTATAAGAACAGAGCCAGGCCCTCTGGCCCAAACATCAGCATCTGACCTTACAGGTGTTCTGCAGGGATGGTCACTAAGCCCCCTACATAAACCCTTAAACCCTTCTCAGAGGAGGTAAAACTGTTAATACTGCATGGGCGGGAGTACATCATATTAAACCTAATGGATTAAAACGGGAATTCAAATCGAATTAATATGCGTGTGAAAGCAGCCTATGGCATTCCTCTGTAATCCTTAAGGACACAGAGTTGAATCTGTTTTACAGCCCAGCATTGATTCTTTTTGGTTGGAGCTTGGGCTGCAGTGTAAGCCCGACCTTTGGATCTCTCTGCACATAATACAAAATTTACATCTTTGTGCCTGAAAGCAGTGCTACCTCAATCTTCACCCACCACACACTCTGCAGCAGCTCCCTGGAATTCAGTCCTGCCTAAAACTACCAGCCAGGACTCCTTCTGAGACAAGCTTTGCAGACAGACTGAGAAGGAGCTGAATTGTAGATAAACCAACACCCTGACAGTTACTAGAAGCTTCTTGAAGCCCTGAAGAAGATTTACATTTTGCACTTTCCTCTCCAGCATGAATGGGAATTTAGTCATCCTCCTTTGTAACACAAGAAAATGTCTCTAAAGTTGTTTCGGCGCGGGCCACGAGCGCTTTGTTTCACCGTGTTGCTTGAGCTTCACACCTCTCATAAATAATGAATGAGGACTAACTGTTTGGCTTGTAAAAATTGTCTCCCAGTAATGTAAGCACCATGCTCGGGGGTGTAGTCAGTGAGGGAGGAAAGTATCTGCACTTCTTTCACCTTTAGACCAGCTGTTCTCAATAAATGTTTCTAAATACCTCTTTTAATATGCCTCTCCTCCCTGTTGCATCTGTGAATTAAACATTCTGTTCAGCTAGTTTGGTCTTTCTTTAAAAAAAAGCCAAACATATGTAGCTGCAAGTGCTTTTCAAGTGAATACAAATGAACTCCATTTGGTATTAACTGCAGCTTGCGAATTAAAAAAACAACAATAACAAAAAGACCCCAGAAGCTCATTACAGAACCAGTGAGGTAAAGCATTATGTTGTTTTGACTGAATTGTAGTTATCAGTGGGCCACCGTGATGAAGCACAATTAGAGCAGCATGCAGCGAGCTGAGAAAAAAAAGGTAAATCTCTGGGAGGAGGGCAAATGAACATGGATGAGGAAGTTATATTCACACCGAACAGGAGGAATCAAGGGATTCGCTGAACGACCCGGAGTCGTGGAGAGCAGCTAATGAGCCTACATGATTCACGCTCGGTCTGCCCCCGCAGGGAGCCTGGTCCTGGGCAGAGTGGAGGTGTAGTGTTTGGGCCAACACATTCCATGACGCAGCCTGCTGGAGCCCAGAAGATGAAGGGGAAGGGGGGGGGATGCTTGCTGATGCAGGGTGAACTGAGATCTTCTGCATATTGCAGAAAAAAACTGCTTGTCTGTGAGCACAAAAAGACCATTGGGTTCATTAGGCCATACAGAGTAGTTAAGAATGTTCTACAAAGTATTTGGAAGAAAGTTAAACTATCCTGCATTGTAGCACTACTTGTCAAACTTCCTCACATTTTGCATTTACAACCATCAATGCGTTGGGATTTGATAGATTATCCCAAAGCAGTGTGTGGAAGTAAAATAAATGGTGTTTTCTTAATGTTTTTTTTAGTGTATAAAATTCAAAGACATGTAATGTTTTTGGCAATAAATATACTACCTAAGCTTGACGATTGCGAAGATTGACACTTTTACTCAGCCGGACCTAATAGAGATGATCAGTGAATCTCCTTATTTCAAGTCTTGCTAGAGTCTCAATGGAATTACATCTAGACACTGATCCAGGCGTCCCTTTTAAATTCCTAAATCACTGAAAGTACCTCCATAGCATCATACTTCCACCACTGTGTTTTACTGTGGGGGGGATGTGTCCTCCAGTGTTATACAGGGAGGTTTATTTATTTTCTTTGGGTTGTATCCAACTGTGCAGGTGTTCTCTGCCCCCTAATTGGCTTGTTACAAACTATGCATGTTAAAGTGTTTTTTTCTCTATTAATAATTACTTTATTCTTGCCACTGTGCTATGAAGGCTGGATTTGTTGAGTTAACCACTTGAGCTGTAGGTTTTTGCAGCTCCTCTTGCTAGAGTCTCAATGGAATTACATCTAGACACTGATCCAGGCGTCCCTTTTAAATTCCTAAATCACTGAAAGTACCTCCATAGCATCATACTTCCACCACTGTGTTTTACTGTGGGGGGGATGTGTCCTCCAGTGTTATACAGGGAGGTTTATTTATTTTCTTTGGGTTGTATCCAACTGTGCAGGTGTTCTCTGCCCCCTAATTGGCTTGTTACAAACTATGCATGTTAAAGTGTTTTTTTCTCTATTAATAATTACTTTATTCTTGCCACTGTGCTATGAAGGCTGGATTTGTTGAGTTAACCACTTGAGCTGTAGGTTTTTGCAGCTCCTCCAGAGTACAGGCTGAAACATTTTCCATGTGTTACCTCTCTCAGAAAAGGAAGCTATAACATATGGTGTCTGGAACCTGTGTGCGACTGAGGAACACTTGGGGTGGACCTCAATTAAGCAAAAACTTTGAAAAAGATTTAATTCTGCTAAAATATGTTTGAATCCTGGCCACTTTTAGTAATTGAGGAGCTGATTGCAGTTGATTTTATTTAGGAATGTCAGACCAAAGAGGCCCGAAAGCACAAAACGTTTTAACAACGATTTTGTGAAAATTTGGAAAAATCAGGCAGCTTGCTTTTTAATTCACAACAATGCACTAGTTTGCATTAGTTGATTACATAAATGAGCATTTACCAAATGATCTAACATCAATTCTAATTAAATAATTAAAGCTTTTTGGGTTTTTTTCTGGGGGGGCAAGGTTCAATTTAAGTAATATGTCTCGTTTTGTTGCACTTTTGACATACATTTTGTTTACTCCGCTGAGCGTTGACACGTGGTTTAAGATTTTGCTTTATTTTAGTTCTTTTAGTCTTCTTTTTGGCTCTTTAAATCCAAGTTAAATAAACTTCAAAAACACATTAAGTTCTTCAACACAATAATAATTAACTATATCTTAAATTGTAGCCTCTCAGTCTGCAGGTCGTGAGAAAGTGTGGCTTAGAGGACAGCTTTGTCACATATCTCTAGAAGTTATTAAAATAGACGCTAAATATCCATGTAGACTTTTAAACCTTTGCGCGCGCTGATTGGCCAGCGCCGGTCACGTGCAGTCGGTCGCTGTGCCGTGCCTCGAGCCAGCTCTGAGTGGAGCCTGTCTGCCAACAGCTTCAGCAGCGGCTCTATCTGGATTCTACTTCACTCACTGACAATTAAAGGAGGCCCCCTTTTTCTTCTCATTTTCGAGGATTATTCGTCACCATGGGCGACAAAAAGAGCCCTACCAGGTAATGCGACCATCCTCGGTCGGTTTAGTTTCAGTTTCTGCCTTCTGGAATCGAGGTTTGGATGCGTTTCTCTCACGCAGGGATCGTTTCTCCCCTTTTTTTCAGTTGGTATGCCACAGCTAGCTAGAATAGTGCAGTCACTATGGCGGCTCGCGAGCCAGTCACTTAACAGACAAAGAGAATTTTTTCCGAGGAAACGCCTGGCATTCCCTGTAACGCTCCTCTGGTTCGATGAAACCTTTCGGAGGGTCACTGTCGAAATGGGCTTTGTTCTGTATGGGTTTCGCCAGCCGACCCACTAAGCTTCGGTACCGAATTTTTTTTTTAGCAGCGCTCCTCAGCCCGCTGCTAGCCTAGCTGGCGATACAGTTGGACGATGAGGACAGTCGCCCGGCCGGCTGTGGATCCATATAAAACTGCCCGGGACTCGAACCCGGTGTTAATGACAACCCCCGCCATGCTTTGTGCCGTTCCGAGCAGCTCGTATAACCGAGCAGCAGGTTCCATGTGTCACATCCTCCTCTGTGCTTTAATTACTGAAACACGTTAGTGGCATTCGTTAACCCTAATTTGACCTTAATCGTCTGTTTCATTTGTAAGGCCGAAAAGACAAGCCAAACAGAGCGCAGACGACGGCTACTGGGACTGCAGCGTGTGCACCTACAAGAACACAGCCGAGGCTTTCAAATGCAGCATCTGCGATGTGAGGAAGGGCACATCCACAAGGTAACCAAGCGCTCCGTCTTTCCTCTCGTTTCAGCCTCTATTCCTTTTCTTTTCCCTTTCTCCTTGCCTTGCTGCTGCTTTGCATCGCTCTCCATGGGAATGGCAACTTTGATCGACATGAGCGGATACTTGTTGATTGCAGAAACGATCCATCTACAGTTTGTCAATTTTGCAGAAAATCGCACCGATGTGATGCTTGCATGGCACAGTAGATAGGTGGAGGGGATCATATTTTTCAATGAAATCTGGAGCAGCATGAGAAAGTAAACAGTGAATATTCACCTGTTAAATTGCAGGGGTTGTTCAAATGGTGCGATTTATTGGATAATTGTCCGGTTACAGCCATGCATGTCCTTATTGGCATGTGGGCACTCAGTGAAATACTTTGAAAATCTAAATTTGAAGCCAGTAGTGTTATTGGAATCCAGGACAAGACCTTATTACTTTTGTAACATTCAGAAAATATGGATATTTTGAAGGCAAAAATGAATGTCAATGTAATTTCAAGAAATGCCAACTTGTCATGTATAAAGAAAAATAAAAAGTGAAAGAGAGTGAAAAAAACACTTTTTCTTGGCATAACATAACCTTAGAGGCATTAATGCTGATGCTTGCAATAACATTTTTTAGTTTATAAACCCAAATATAATGTTTAACTTTACTTTTCAACTTTGCGATTAGTTTTTTACCTTTTTTTTCTTTGCTTGTTATTTTTTTCATTTTTACTTAATTTACAATAGGTTATATATCATTCAAGGGTTCATCTAATTGGTCCAATTCCAAAATAAGATGTATCATGTAGCATTATCTTTGCTGGATGGCTGGATATAGATCTCACGATTTGTAAGGAGAATGCAACTGATCCAAAACAGTAACTTGCCCTATAATGGGTTAAACTTACATCTTCATGTTGCAGTCTTGTTTTTTTTTTGTTTTTTTATTAATGTTGTAGTCCCTTTGTTCTGTCAAGTGCAGAGTGTTGTTTTAAGTTATATCACTGTCATGCACTTCAGTAACACTTTCACTGAAGGGGTTTTACTAAACTCTGAAGAGTTACAAGCTGTTTAAAAGGAGTTTTTTTTGTTAAGCTGTTTTCCTCACAGCTGTGCTGTTTAAAGTCAAGGGTGGTTTAAAATGAACTTTTCCTTTTTAAAAATCTGGTTTTAAGACTTTTGTTAATAATGACAACGGGAGATTTCAGTTTCTGAGTATTATCTGAAATGGTTTGTTTATGGTAAAATTTCAAGAATAGTTATGCTTGTTGTGATTGGGTGATGCATTTTTACTTCTACATCTCATGATAATGATATGTTTTTGTGGTACCTATCTGCACAAGTGGTAGTGTTATCACATCATAATCTCATTTTTCTGAAAACCGGTCATATTCCCAGAACTGCATGTGGTTACAGATTTATCGCCATATTAACTGGGCCTTGGATATCCCAGGCTTTTCCCCTGAACTTGATGCAGAATACATGTCGTGTGATGTTAGCGTAGCGCCTTCTCTTATGGGAAACAGCTTAGAAAGCAATACTCATCATGACGGGATTCCCTTTCAGTTTTGTGTACGGTGACACCTACTCCTCCTCTGGGGAATGTTTTTGGTGATGAGTTGCTCGTGGCTCGGTTTGCTCAGATCATCAATCGGATGGTGAGAGAGAAAAAAAGAAGACAGATGACTCATTTGTGGTTTCGTCAGCAAGTCCCCCTTGCACTCTAACCTTTTTTAGCTGTGGTTTTTACAATAAGTGGCTTGACCTACGAGCCTGACAACATCACACAGATGGGAGACACCCACACAATTCTGCTTCACGGCGAAAGCAAAAGATTGAGTTCAATCTTATTTGTCTGGCTCCCCTCCCCCTATGATCTCTTCCCAGCAGCGTGTAGCTTAAGACCACAGCTGACAGTGTTGGCTGAGCACACTGCAGGAAGCATAAACTAGCGAGTCGTTGACATGTCGTCCCTGCGATTTTGCACCGGCCTTCTCCTTATTTTGGTTAGTGGGAGCACATGACATCATCGGAGCGCCTTTCAAAAATTCTCGTTTGATCTGAATTGTTAACTTTGGATTAATGCGGTTGTAAGGCTGCCTCTTATTCTAATGAGAGCTAATTAGCCAGCTTTTCCTAACTGTTTGATGTATTCAGTTTAAGCAAGGTGCTCTCAGCTAAATGATTCACACTTAAGGCAGTCCATGTGGATTTTTTGTCCCCCTGCTCTTACATGAGGCTCCTTTTTGATTATGAATGTATGTATGAGAGCCACAAGTGAGCGCTGATTAAACTTTGTCGTGATCAATAGAGTCTGAATATCAGGAATATCTTGGTGGGAGTTTTCCTGCAGGTTGTCTTTGATATTTAAATAAATCGTCTTCATTCATGCCTAATGTTTGCAAGCTTCTCCACAGTCTCTATAAGTGGAACTGCACACGAAGGAGGAAGTTGTCTTTTGTGTCCTGTTAAGTTATTAAAATACACTGAGCTGTAGCCGAACTTTTAGCCACATCAGTCTTTAATTCACCTCGATCTGTTGCTGTTACATCAGGTAGCATTTTTCATGTAGAGATCGCTTTCCGTTATCCTGTGTCTGCCAGTCTCTCTCTCTCTGGTCATCAGGTGAATGTTTTGCTCTCTTTACCTATCAGACTTATTCAAACACCATGTGTTTCCAAAGCTGTTGATGCTGATGAAAAAGCTGAAAAGATGCACGTTTTTTTAACACCTAGTAGCTTAAACTCTGAGGCTCCAATGATGCCTCCTGCTCTGCCAGCACTAGGTAAACCAGGTAAGCAGCAGGTATTACTTGATTTGTGCTAATGAAAGCACGAATGCGTAGGAAGGAAAGATGAACACTAACTGTGCATCAGCATGCATGAGGCCCCCTTTTTCTCCCAAATGCACCTGTTGACCCACTACGACTTAGTGATGAAACATGATACCCATGTTGGCTGAATCCAGCCTTTTGGACTTTTAAACCAGAGAAGTGCTTTGATATGTTTTTTTGCCTGACTCCATGCAGTCTGGTTGTGCAGTTTCAGCCTTCAGAGGCTGCGTTTTTGTAGTTAATGAGGAAAGGAGCATGTTTACATCCCCAGTTGGGATGACTCATATTCAACTGTGTGAATGTGACGCTGCACTGTTTGGTATGCACCTCTGGCAGCTTCGGGGCAGGAGATGAACCATTAGGAGAACTTTAAAAGTGATTGATTGTGGAGATCACAGCATGTTTAGATGGACCTCAGCCTTTGACTGCTGGCTCTTATCTGCCCTCTGTTGCTTTGTCATTAGTCAGATCAAGTAGCTGACATCAGGAAAGTATTTTAAGCGGAACGTGTTTTGTTTTTTCTTCTCATCTCTGTGCTTCGAGTGAGAAAATGTTTTAATTCTGGATCTGGTCGACATTTTCATTATGTCCATCAGTTTCCTTAGGTCATCACTGATATGTTGCTGCAGCGGCATAGCTACAGTACCCATCTGATAATCTATTGCCTTGAAAATGCAGATATTTATAAACGTCTCCCTTACTATGGAAGTACAGCTGTGGCTCTCACAATACCGGTACATGTTTTTATGTACACCACTTTCCTTGATATTGATGATTTCACTCCATTTCAAAAATGACTCATTGTTGATGTGGCTCTTACCATATATGAATGTGGTTCTGGTTATATATGTGGAGAAAAAATTGTCAGCGGATTTGTTCTACGCCATAAACTGATCATTTCCTGTAAAAATTAAAGGCGAAAGCTTTTGATTGTCTTTGGTTCTGGGTGCTGAGGATATATATTTGTCACAAACAGAAACCTGTGGCTGCTAAGGTTTCTTCTTTTTGACCGACCTTTTGTTGGATGAAAGATTTATGCATTTTTAGGGAAAACATTTTTTTAGAGCATTTGAATATAATATGTCCATTATGTGCACAAAATCTAGGCAGTTTTTAGAAAACTGCCCCCTTTTAGGTACCACTTTGGCTCAGTCAGACCGACCAGTAATGGGCATCGGGGGCTATGTTTATTCAATGGTTTCCAGAGCTGCTCATACAGCTCTGGCTGATACTTTGGATTGAATTCATGCTTCCCTTGATATTATCCTTCCATATATGTTCTAAGCTATGATCAGTGACAGGTAACGGATTCTAACCCACTAGATCTGAATGGTTACCTCCATAATAAAACAATCTCCAAAACAAAAAGTAATGAAGAAACCTAATAGTTGACCTCTTTGCCTCCTTCACTCGATTTGTTTTGTTGTTTGTCTGTGGCCTAACAAGAACCACGCTTGTGGTTCCTAATGGTTCTAGTTCAGCTCTAACTGCAGACGTGGCGGGATTTAGATATGTTTTGATATTAAAGATGAACTCCGGATGACTTCCTGAGGAAGGCAGAGGTGTGAAGGAAACGAAGCTCAGACAAACTCAGGATCATTTTAACGGCTACACAGTGAAGCATTACATGAGACTTTTTGCCAGATGAGCAAACATTAAGGTAAAGACAACAGACACATCAGGTCTGAAGAGTTATTTCAAGGCAGCAATAGATAAATCGACGTTAAAGCCCACGCTTTCCACAGACAGAAGGAATAATAATAGACACAGTCCTATCCCGACGCATTTTACAGTTAGAAAAGTGGGTGAGTGAGTATAGTACAGAAATGAGGGGAGGGTGAAAATATCACGTATATAATAAGGCTGTATCAATATTTAAAGCCCCTGCCAGCACATTGCTTCGCATACAGTTTATCACCACACGCATTCATAATTAAGCAACTCAAGCTTTTTCCGAGCTTAACATTAGCAAACAATGTACAAAAAAAAGTTAATTACCTTCTCACAGATGAACTACCAGTTGCTCATGTTTATAAATGTCTTGTTGAGCTGCTCATGCTGTCAGCAGCAGCATTTTGTCATGTTTCACATTTTCAAACACTCCTTTAAGCTCTGGAGATAGAATTTACTTTGTTCCATCCTTTAAATACTTCAGGTGATGTGACTCTGATTTG